AAAGAAAGAAAGAGAGAAAGAAAGAAAGAAAGAAAGAGAAAGAAAGAAAAGAAAAGGAAAGAAAGAAAGAAAGAAAGAAAGAAAGAAAGAAAGAAAGAAAGAAAGAAAGAAAGAAAGAAAGAAGAAAGAAGGAGAAGGAAGGAAGGGGGGGGAAGGAGGGAGGAAGGAGGGAGGGAGGGAGGAAGGAGTGGGAGGGAGGGAGGGAGGGAGGAAGGGAGGAAGGAAGGAAAGCCAGCCTGGTCCTATTTCCACCAGGATTGGGCTGACACTTTGGAGAACTCCATGATCAGCTGACCTGGTACATGCGGTGGGGGGGGGGGGTAGGAGGGGGGTGTTGGTCTTCTGAGGGAGAGGCCCTATGAGCTGGTTCACAATCAGACCTGCCTTTGCATAGAATCCCCTGCTGGGTGCAAGGGGGGCAGGGTTTTGTGCAAGTGACTCCAGCCTCCACTGGAGGTGCTGTGTTTCTCTCTGAAGTCCAACCACGCTGGTGGGGGGAGGGGAGGAGGGATGGTGTCACCCTGCCCTCTTGTCCCTGGGGAGGGGAACTCATGGCCACAGGTGTTCAGGAGGCCCTCACAGAAAAGCAAACAATCTCCTCTTCTATGTCCTAGGCTTTTGTCAGATCGCTGCCCTCAACATGTCTGTGCCCAACTGTCAGCACACCGGAGACCCCAGTTCTCCTGTGTTTTATCTCTGTCACATGGCTGGGATTCAAAACTCCAAATGTTAAAGGGCCTGGCAAGGCATGGACTGCTTCCCTCCCCTGGAGGAGAGCCTTGCAGTGCAGTCAGCACCATTCTGTCCCAGAAAAGCTGTCTCATGGCACATGCTCGGTGCCTGGAGTCTCGCAATATACATTTTAAACTAATCTTAGTCCACCTTCAAATAACACTATGCTACTTCATATATAGTGCAGGTACCTTTTAAGAGAGTAGTCCCATTTCTCTCCTCAGTATATTACTGTCATTTATTTTACCAGTCTATACACTATTATCACCCAATACCATCAAAACTACTATTAAACAGTATCTTTTCAATCGAGATAAAGAAAAATAAAAGATTTTAATTTACCTTTATTTATTCTTTCTCCAAACTCTTCTTCCTTCCTATACATAGATCTGAGTTTCTGACCTTTAGCAATTTTCTTCTCTCTAAAGAACTTTTCATTTTTTTTGCAAGGTGATATATTCCCTCAAGTTTTTTTTTTTTTTCCCTTTTTGTCTAAAAGAGCTATTATCATTTCACTTTTGAAAAATATTTTCACCAAATACATAGAATTCTAGGTTGGTAGTTCTTTAACACTTTGGATATTTCACTCCTCTCTCATCTTGTTTGCATGGTTTCTTGTAAGAAGCACATTGTAATTCTTATTCTTGTTCACCTATAGATAAGGTGTTCCTTCCCCCCCTCAGCTTCTTTATGTATAGTTTTCTTCAGTTTGAATATGATATGCCCATGTATAGATTTTTTTTGGTATTTATCCTGCTTGGTGTTCTCTGAGCTTCCTGGATCAATGGGTTTGTGTCTACATTTAATTTTGGAAAATTCTCACCATTATTAATTCACATTTCATCTGCTGCATTTGCTCTTTTTCTCTTCTGGCATTCCAATTACACATATGCTGCACCCTTTGAAATGGTCCCATAGTTCTTGGATGTTTTCTTTTTTCATTCTTTTTTTTTCTTTGCATTTTTTTTGAAAAGATTCTGTTGACATACCTTCAAGCTCACTGATTCTTTCCTCAGTTTCATCCCATCTATCAGTAAACCCACAAAGGTATTCATCATTTTTATTTTTTTTATTTCTAGCATTTTCTTTTAATTCATTCTTAGAGTTTGTGTTCTTATGCTTACATTATGTCTGTCCTTACATTTTGTATCCTTTTTTCATTAGAGACTAACATATTAATTAGGTATTTTAAATTCCATCTGATTAATTCCACAATCATAATTGAGTCTGGTTCTGATGCTTGCTTTCTCTCTTCAGGCTTAGTTTTTTTCTTGCCTCTTAGTATGTCCTGTAATATTTTGTGGAAAGCCAAGCATGATATATTGACTAGAAACTGAAGCAAATAGGCTTTTAGAGTGAGGTTTTATATTAATCTGGCCAGGAGGTAAACTGTGTTTAATGTTTGCTATAGCTGTAGGTGTCAGAGGCCTCACATTCCTATGGTTTCCATATTTGTGTCTCCCCTGTTGCCTTTGAGCTTCCCTAAGAACTCCTCTTTAAACAGAGTTTGTGTCTTGTAGTTCTTTTTGCTATAATCCAGTTATTATACTGGAGCCTGGCTGATGTGGTTGGTATGGTATGGTGGAGAGGAACTGTCCTATAATCTTATGATTAAATATTAGTCTTTGAGGGGATCTATGTCCCTGGACTGTAACCTTCACAAGTTTCTTAGTGCCATCCACTTCCCAGATAGGAAGGCTAAAGGGGACTGGAGTCAAGGAAATGCCCTGCTCCCCTAGGTGGGAAAAGGCTCTGGTAAAGTCTTTTCCTCTGGTGAATAAATCTTTGTCATGGAGATGCTCTGGGTATATTTCTTTTTCTTTTTCTTTTAAGATTTTATTTATTTATTTGACAGAGAGAGACACAGCGAGAGAGGGAACACAAGCAGGGGGAGTGGGAGAGGGAGAAGCAGGCCTCCTGCAGAGCAGGGAGCCCGATGCAGGGCTCGATCTCAGGTCCCTGGGATCATGACCTGAGCCGAAGGCAGACGCTTAACAACTGAGCCACCCAGGCGCCCCCCCCCCCCTTTTTTTTTTACGATTTATGGGTATATTTCATAATAGTAACTTTTCCCATCCCCAACCAGAGGCATAATGGGATTTTTCTTGACTCTTCACCAGAATTCCTGGAGGCAAAACCCCACAGAGATGTGGGGTATCTCCCTAGGAATTTCATCCCTCCAGGAGTTTCTCACTTGCATACTAGTCCACACTCAACCACCAGCAGTTCATCAAAATTACCACTTGTGTTCTTACAGTTTATGGCTCTAGGTGGTTATCTGTTTCAGGTAAGCAGATCTTGGTTGTGATTCTGAATTTACTTCTTTCTCCAGATTTCAAGGTGGCAGTTTGCCCTATGACCTCAGTTTTCTTATGGGTCGAAGAAAGTCATTTTCAGTTTGCTCAGCTTTTTTCTTTTTTTAAGGATGGGAGCGATAATTAACAAGCTCTTTACATGTCAGAGCTACATCTGAAAATATTTTATTTGTTTTTTAGTTTCCATTTCTCTGTTGAGATTCTCCATCCACTTATTAACACCAGTTTTCCTGTAATTTGTTGAACATATTTATAATAGCTGCTTTGAAGTCTTTCAGATCTAACATCTGGGTCTATTCAAACTCATATTTTATCAAATATCTTTTTTCCTGGGTATGGATCTTATTTTCTGGTTTCTTTCCATGCCCATTAATTTTTGGTTGAACACTGGAGACTTTGGAAAATAGATTCTCATAACTCTAGATTGTGTTTTGTTCTTCTGAGGATTGTTATTCTTGTATTCTAGCAGGCAGTTAACTTGTCTGGGCTCAAAATGCAGCTGACATCTCTCAACCTCCATGCTTCAACTACATATTTTTTTAAAGCATGGTTCCCAAATTTCTCTCCCCAACCAGTGCTAGCACAGTTTAGTGGTCAGTGAAGAATTTGGGCAGAGTTTATGCTAAAATTCTAGATCTCACCCCTTTTACAACTCTCTTCTTTCAGGATGCCCCACCTATATTTCCAGCTCTTCTGCCAGCTTTGAACTCTGTCCTTTGCCATCATGAAATAGTTGGACTGCATTTTTTGCTGCCAGAGCTAAAAGAACTGGTGATCCCTCTCAGACTGAAAAGCAACAAATTCCTATTTCTTACCCATTCCAAGGATAAATACATTTCAAGGCTGTTGCCTGCTTTGGTTATTTGACAGTACCTTCAAATAGCTGGATACTTTTAATACATTTTTGTTCAAATTTTATAATTGTTATCTATGTAAGGGATTGGCCAACTTATTTAACTTACTCCACCACTCCCAAACCTAGATTCTCTGTGATTATAACTTTTAAGATGAGAGAACCCTGTGCTCTATGCCATTAGAATCTGAAGTCTAGTGATGATAGCTTGTATTCAAATTCAACTTTTGTTGAATCTGGATTTCTAGATAAATAGATTTCAAAAATCTTATCTATACTGACTTCCCAAAGTAATCCCAAGGTTTTCTTATATAGGAATCCCAATAACAACATCAACAATAGGCACTGAAATGGGATTCTTAATGATTAAAAAAGTAAGTCAAATTTGAAAGAAAGTACAAAAAGAAAAGATTTAGGCTAATAGTTAATTGTTGGACAAATAAAATGTGGCTCAGAATTTCTATGGCACAGAACGTGTACAGGTGGAACACAAAGGAAGAGGTTTAACTATCTAGTATGAAATAGTCATATGTCCTTTGGCTCCATTCAAAATTTTCCATTAATTTTGAAACCATGAGCAAGAATTCTTGTTTCCTCTCTATCTAAAACAGAAATATGTACTTTACTACATAGTAATGTAAAAATATTTTAAGACATTTTAAAGTATTCTGGAGAATGATGCTAGTTAAATCTACATTGTTTTATTTATCACAAAAAGAACTTATCAACTTATGTTGGTTAAAAAAGAAGAAATGAAGAGGCAGCCAAATTATTCAACTTTCTCTTTACTTTGCATATTATATGTGTTGGAGATCTACCTCCTCTTTTCTTAGGCTTTGGCCAAAATCAAGAGTGTAAAGATGAAAGATAAGGAAAGAACTAGTTTGATGACATGTTTTTTAATCCAAAAAGCCAATGATTTCAGTGAACTCAGTTATATAAAAATAACTTTCCAATACTGGTAGTTGCACTTTGTTCTTATCTCAAAAACTGGACATCTAATTTTATAATCTACTTCAGTCAGGGTAACATATATGACAAGTGATATGATAAAAGAATGACCATGTAATCTTTTTGTTTAAAATAGAGCAAATTATTACCGGAGGCGTAAATCTTCCCACATTTTCAATAATCCACAGAGCATTACTATCTCATAGTATTTTTTCCAGCATTCAACGGCCTCTGCTGCAGATGGATCTTCCTTAATATTACTCTGATACTCGATGAGCTCAACACGTTTGTTTTTATATTTCTCCAAAGTTTTTTTGAAACGTTGTGCAATAGGACCAGGTATGGTTCCATCTTGTATATCACACCACCTGAAAAGTATCAATATAATTACAGTGTTTATCTTATAATAATAATGTGCTGAGTTCGTTTTTAACTATACTTACAAATTAATTCTTTCTTCAATCAAAGCAGTGTAATTCTCACAACTTTCTTCATCATCCCAGTCCCTCCAAAGAAAGTCATAAAAAAACCTATAATGAATCAAAATAATATAAGTGATCAAAAAGAGCCAATACCATGTATATAATTAAAGACACTGTCATGTCAGAATTCTTTGTATGAATTCTAAGAAAAATGACTTCTCAGTGAACTAATATTAAAATCAAACCTTTAAAAATTAGATTATCTAGATTCTATTTGAGGTTACTACAGATAATGTTCCTTGAAGTGGGAATGAAAAATGTTTCCAAATTTCCTAGATTTTGGCTATGGTTTTGTTCAACAAAGAAATAATACTTAAGATATAATCAAATTTGTATATTCAGGGAAAGCATTAGAAAAACAAAAATATGCCCCCAAAATATTCTGTATTATATTTTTAGACAGCTTCTCTCAAATTGTATCAACTTTTAAGAAGCAATCATAATGTAGATGATGACATCTAGCATTTGTAATGCCCTTACACATGAAACATAAAATCTAATATACTTAAGATGCTTAAATATGAACAAAATTTAATGTTACTTGTCTCTAGAACTTTTTTAAATCAATTTTTGAAAAAGCAAGATAAAAAAATGGCAAACTTTTCATTGCCCATATATAATACTTCTGCAAGAGAATGTTAAAGGAGTTACAAATATGTGTTCATTAAGAACAGACAGGAGCACCTGGCTGGCTCAGTCAGTGGAGCATGTGACTCTTGATCTTGGAGTCATGAGTTCAAGCCCCATGTTGGGTGTAGAGATTACTTAAAATAAATAAATAGACTTTAAAAAAATGGACAAATTGAATTCAGAAGTGAGTAAAAATTAAATCAATAAGTATTTATTAAGCGCTTATATACTTACGTATTAACTTTTTGAATAGGAGAATTTTAACTTTAAGAGGTAAAAAGCTCTAATACCTTACAACTTCCAAGGCCAAAGCAATATCATGTATATCAGAATCTTGTCCTTCAACAGGGTACACTTCCAAGAGAGGCACACTATGCTCCAGTTCTTCCAAAATCTCATTGACTAAATTCCTTGGAATATTTGCAATGTTAGAAGAAAAGGGCTCAGCAACAGATACAGTAACTTTGAAACAAGACGATAAGCTTTGGTGTGGTTTACAAGTTACCTACGACAAATATTATAAAATTTGTAATTACAAATCAAAATAAATCACAGGATTTTTTTCCTCACACATGATCTGCTTATAAAATTTCTTCTTTTAAATTTTATGACCTCTTTAACCACACACAAAGTAATTATAGCTCAATATTAAATAAAATAACAATTTTTCAAACTTTCTCCCTCCCTCCCTCTCTCCTTTTCTTTTCCTTTCCTTTCCTTTTCCTTTCCTTTCCTTTCCTTTAGTTCTGGTGTAGTTAATAATGTTATATTAGTTTCAGGTGTATAATATAGTGATTCAACAATTCCATATATTACTCAGAGCTCATCAAGATAAGTCTTAATCCTCTCCAGCTATTTCACCCATCCCCCTACCCACCTTCCCTCTATAATATTTGTTCTCCCAATCCCTAAATACAGAATATCTTTCCATTTCTTTGTGTTGCCTTCAATTTCCTTCATCAGTGTTTTATAGTTTTCAGAGTACAGGTCTTTCACCTCCTCGGTTAAGTTTATTCCTGGGTAGCTTATTATTTTTGGTGCAATTGTAAATGGAAGGATTTTCTTATTTCTCTTTCTGCTATTTCATTATTAGTGTATAGAAATGCAATGGATTTCTGTATAAAGATTTTGTATCCTGCAACTTTACTGAACTCATTTACCAGTTCTAGTATTTTGGTGAAATCTTTAGGGTTTTCTATATATAGTATCATGTTATCTGCAAATAGTCAAAGTTTCACTTCTTTCTTACCTATCTGGATGCCTTTTATTTCTTTTTCTTGTCAGATTGCTGTGGTTAGGGCTCCCAGTACTGTTGAATAAAAGTGGTGACAGTGGACATTCTTGTCTTATTCCTGACCTTAGGGGAAAGGCTCTGTTTTTCACCAGTGAGTATGATGTTAGCTCTGGGCTTTTCATATATAGCTTTTATTGTGTTGAGGTATGTTACCTCCAAACCTACTTTGTTGAGGGTTTTTATCATGAATGGATGTTGTACTTTGTCAAATGCTTTTTCTGCATCTATTGAAATGATCATATGGTTTTTATCCTTTGTCTTGTTGATGTTATGTACCACATTAACTGACTTGTGAATACTCAGCTACCCTTGCATCCCAGGAATAAGTCCCACTTGGTCGTAGTGAGTAATTCTCTTCATGTATTGTTGGATTCAGTTTGCTAATATTTTATTGAAGATTTTAGCATCTATGTTCATCAGAGATATTGGCGGCCTGCAGGTCTCTTTTTTTTTTTTTGGTAGTGTTTTGGTATCTGGTTTTGGTATTGGAGTAATGCTGGCCTCATAGAATGAATTTGAAAGCTTTCCTTCCTCATCTATTTTTTTTAAATAGGTTCCAGTTATTGATTCATGGATGCTTTTATCTTGTCTTTAATTTCTGAGATTAATAGGTTTTTAAATATATTTATGTACATATGTGTGTGTATATATATATTTTCCTTTTCCTTATCATTTGTTTCTTCAAAATGTCTTCTTTTCTGCTGTTTTAACCACAATTTTGATATTAGAGTTTCTTCAAATGCCTGGTGATCCTTGGCTGTCTGTTCATATTTAAAAGTGGAGCACTAAAAAGGAGGTCTGTGTATACAGGTGGAATAAGTACAGATGTTCTATCTGTAGATGTAGAACATCTGTAGGATGTTCTGCACCAGCTCTTTCCATGGGAACTCAATATGACAACTACCTTTAGATGTGTTCTTTTGAGCTGAATATAGAAAAATCTTCCAACTCTCATGCCTGAAGGAATATGCCTTAGCTGCTTGTGTTCAGAGTCAGAGTAGAAGGCAGAAGATCCTAACATTCAGTACCAATAAACTTTGACCTATTCCCTTCTTCTCAATGGGATACTTCTATCCTTAACCATACTTCTCAAGCCAGCTTCTGAAATCTGTACATTTATGTCTTTTGCCAAATTTGGGAAATTTCAGCCATTATTTTATTCAAATATTTTTTCAGCCACACCTCTTCTCTTTTTCTGGGACTCAGAAGACATGAATGTTAGGTCTTTTGTTAGAGTCCAACATGTCCCTACAGCTCTCTCCATTTTGTTTTCCAGTTTATATTCTTCCTGGTGTTCAATTAGGTAATTTCTAATTTTCTATTGTCAAGTTCACTGATTGTTTCCTCTGTCTTCATTCTGCTGTTCAACACATTCTTTTGAGTTTTTTATTGTAGTTACTGTATTTTTCTAGTTCTAAAACATTGCTTGGTTTTTCTTTATATATTTCATTTATTTGTAGAGACTTTCTATTTTTTGCTGAGACTTTCTATTTTTTAATTTGTTGCATATGCATTCATAATTGCTCAGTGAAGCATTTTTTTTTTAAAGATTTTATTTATTTGAGACAGAATGAGAGAGAGAGCACATGAGGGGGGGGGGAGGGTCAGAGGCAGAAGCAGGCTCCCCGCTGAGCAGGGAGCCCGATGTGGGACTCGATCCAGGGACTCCAGGATCATGACCGGAGCCGAAGGCAGTCGCTTAACCAACTGAGCCACCCAGGCGCCCCTCAGTGAAGCATTTTTATCATGACTGCTTTAAAGTCCTTGTCAGATAATTCTAACATCTGTGTTACCTCAGTGTTGGTGTCTATTGTTTTATCTCATTCAAGTTGAGATCATCCTAGTTCTTACGAGGGATTGAGAAGAGATGACAAGTGATTTTTCTGGACATTTTGAGTATTATGTGAGATTCTTGACTTTATTTAAATCTTTTATTTTATCAGTCCTCTTTTGACACCAATCTGCCATAGAAAGTAAGTTGCCACCCTGTTACTGCCAGATAGGGAGAGAAGTCCAGATTCTTCACTCTGTGTCTGTTGACTGGGGGAGGGTGAGGAGTGTTTCTTCTTTACTGCTATTCTGGGGTGAGAGCTCAGGTTCAACATGAGATCTCCACTAATACCAGCTTGGAGAGAGAGGAGCACCTCATTATTGTTCCCCATGTTTTCTTTGACATCGTGGTAGGGTGTTGAGTCCTGATTCTCCACTAGATTTTTTCTGACACCACTGCTCCAGGAAGTGGAAGGAGTCTCTCCTTACTCGCAGGGGTGGAAGTATAGTCTTCCTACGTAGTCTACATTGACACCGGCGGGGGCAGGGGAAGTTCCTTATCACCCAACTCCCCATTTTCTTCCCACTAGGTCTTCTCTAACACCACTCTGGCAGTGGGGTTAGACTGCCTTGTTTCAACTTAACAAGGGTGGAAGTCTAGGCTCTTCACTTGGGTCTTTTCCTGCAGTGGGGAAAAAGGGGCAGCAGGTTTGGGGTTTTTTTCCCTGTGGTGTTTGGCTGCCCCTTTCCTGGTCCTTTGGCTAGAGAAAGCAGGCCTTTGGGAGTGGGGAGTTGGGGGGGGTGGGCTTTTTCATTTTTATTTTTTACTTTTAGTCTACACCTATTGGTGTTTTTAGGTTGCCAGATTCTCTGGTACCCAGTCTAGGATATATGAAGCAAACCTCAAGGAAGTTACTGTTATTCCTTGGGTCATGAGGTCCCTAGGCACTCTGCCTTCTATCCATCTTTTAGAGTCTTATGTTGGTTTTATATTAATTATCCAGGTTTTTTGTTATACTTGGTAGGAAGAATAGGGAAAAATATGTCTACTCCATCTTTCTGGGAGTGGAAATCTCTGTTTCTTAAATAGCTTTCAACAATTCTTTCTTAGCTCCATATTAAACCCTATTTCCAGAGATGTAAGTACAGTCAATTCTTTAGGGTATTTAGTGTATATCAAATTGTTTTTTGGCTTTCCCTACTACAAACTTAGAATTCAACTTTCTTAGCTTTACTGTCGGTTGCCACTTATTTATCTCTTTTATGCCTTCTAAGTTTTGTTGCCATTATCACCTTTCCCATCTCTTGTCCTTAAATACCTTTTAAAAAATTCCTTTGCTATCATTTGGTGGAGGACTCTAGGGATAAAGAAAAGCTCCTACAAGTTTCCAGAGAGAAAAAATATATAGGTGTTATCAGAGGACTGATGACATTGGCTTCTCAACCAACAACACTGGAGGCTTGAAGACAATGAACAGTATTTTTCCAATTCTGGTCATAAAAATCAAACCTAGAATCATGTACCCTGTCAATTTTTCAAATAAATATGAGGATATTTTCAAGAACACAAGACTGCAGTAATTTTATCTTCTTTGTGTCCTTACCCATGAAGCTATTAGGATAAGGTCCCAGCCAAAATGAAAGAATTAAGAAAAAGGAAGATAGGAATTCTGGGAAATAGGTTATTTATACAAGAGAATGGCAAAAGGAATTCCTAAGATAATGATGGAGGGAGATCCCAAAAAGACAGCTATCCATCGGGTTTAGAGATCACCAATCCAGATTGCAGATCATAAGGATGCAAGAGATACCTCTTTAAGAAGACAAAATTGATAGACATGTTTATGTTGAGAAGACTTACATAACTGGGGAAGAGTCTAAGGACAAACTAGTAAGAAAACTAAAAGAAATGAAAAAAAAACAAGGTAATCAACTCTAGGAAAACTTTTTTAAATGTCCAGGAAAGGAAAATTAATCATAGTATACCAGTTTATCTATCTCTGAAATGAATACTACATACAAATGAAGTAAACACTGAGTATATGATAGAACCAAAATTATTAAGTGTTTTGGGAGGATGGGAGCATGTAAAAAATATGGGTATAAGGTGGAACAGGGAATGTATTGGTGGTGGTATATAAAATACCTAAATCCCCATTTTCCATAGTGGGAGCCTATATATAAAACCTAAAACAGAGAAATCAAGAAGTAGCAATATAAGCATGATTCTTCTTTTTTTATTTAAATTCAATTAGCCAACATATAGTACATCATTAGTTTCAGATGCATTATTCAATAATTCTTTTTTTTTTTAAAGATTTTATTTATTTATTTGAGACAGAGAGAATGAGAGAGAGAGAGAGCACATGATAGGGGGGAGGGTCAGAGGGAGAAGCAGGCTCCCCGCTGAGCAGGGGGCCCGATGCGGGACTCGATCCAGG